TTTGACATATGGCAGTTGCTTTTGTAACCTCTTGTAAGATCAGTACAACTGGTGATTATGAAATATGAATAATCTGAAAAAAAATCCTGGTTAATTTGTACCACAGTTAAAAAATATCAGATTAGATTGATTTTACTATCTTCTGTTGCAGTATTCAATATAAATTCAAATTGCAGTTTAAAATGTAAGATCATAGAGACTATAGTAATGGCTTTCAAAGAATCAAAATTTGAGGAGGTCTTCTCTTCTTATATGATTTTACTTTTTATCAAACTTGTAATATTAATGTTTTTGCAAAATCATTAAAGTCTATTATTATAGATCCAAACTCTTTAAACATAGGAATTGTGATCAATTTAAAGCAGTAATCAAGTGGTGAACTGGCTATATAAGAATACAATTTGACTCATTTTTTAAAAGAAGACCTCTTTATGTATTTCTTAAAAGCTGAATGCAGCTGAATAAGGTGCAAACTAGAGATAGGCTCAGTTAGTAGTGATTGTGAACAACTGACAAGTACACACCATGTGAAAAGGTCTGTTAGTAAATCAAATGCCAACCACTATTATTATGAATCATCTTTGAAATGATTGCACTATGACTGTTTATTGGAACTAGTATGATGGAATTTTATCTGAATGAACTGGCTATTAGCCAGTTGATAATTTTCTGATTCTAGAGAATCCAAATGTGTGGCATGGAGATCCATGGAAGAGTCCTCCCAGTGCCTTCTCTGCAATAAACAATGTTTAAAACGAATGTGAGCATAAAACCAAGCTGTTGCCAATAAGCCTACACAAACGTCCCTGGAAATGACCAAAATGTTATTCATGAAAATAATTAATCCTAAGCAAGTTTGGAAGGTTTTCTTTTTCCCTGCGCTATAAGTACCAACATTTTTAGCTCATTTCAGAGGTCCAGATTCTCCAGGGGCCTGTAAACATACTCTCTTTATTCTTACTCTACAGCTTTGGAGATTCCTTTGTCTCTGATTCCTGTTTTAAAACTGAGTTTTGCATTTTCTTAGCATGTTCTAAGTACAGTAAATTTTAGTTTGAGTTCAGAGTTAAAACTGACAGCTATACTTGTCATCTTCTCTTATTATCCTCTTTTTCCAGAAATATGTCTTCAGTCAAGAGCTTTAACTATCTCGGGTTGGGTTTTGAAACTATTTGTTCATATGTAATATTTATCAAATAGGTATTAATTATAAAGTACTTCTTTTAATTATTTCATATATTTTTTCCCTCTAATTTAGTATAATATAAAAGGAGGCCATAGTCTACAAAATCGAGAGAAACGTTTTAAGAGGATTATTTCAGATGGTCCAGGACCAGCAAGCTATGATCGGTCTTCTCCTGGAACATTAGATATCATGAACAGAAAAGCACTAGAGGCTAAAGAGCGTCTTCACTTAGTACGTTGCTATTTTAAATTATGTTTCTAATGACATTTCTTTTAGTTAAAATAAAATAGAAAAAGTTTAATGTTTTATGTGATAAGTACATTTAAAAAGCCTTACTATGAAAATAGTAGGTTTATTAGTATCCATATTGTAGTTAGTTTATAATTAAATGAATACTTGATGTTTATAAACTTCGGTTTTTTTTTATGAGGAAGATCAGCCCTGAGCCAACATCCGTGCCAATCCTCCTCTTTTTGCTGAGGAAGACTGGCCCTGGGCTAACATCTGTACCCGTCTTCCTCCACTTTATATGGGACACCACCACAGCATGGCCTGAGAGCGGTGCCTCGGTGCACGCCCGGGATCCGAACCAGGGCCGGCAGCAGTGGAGCGCGCACACGTAACCATTATGCCACGGGGCTGGCCCTTATAACCTTCAGTTTTTAACTGTATTAACATCTGACTTCATTTTTGCTTTTGATAAATCTATAATTATTTCCAATGTCTATAGTGAACAGAAGGTAAGGGAGATTTTAAAAACGACCTGAGGGGTTTACCTGTATGTATAGAGAAGAAACTATGTGTTAAGTACTGTCAATAATACAGTGAAATTTAAAAAAATGATTCCTGAAATAAAAAAGTTTAAAATTTAGATGGATGGGAGCTGTATGGATTGCTACTAAGGCACGATGAAATGGGACAGGTGCTAAATGAGTGAGTATGCACTTAAATGCCGTGGGAATTTAAAGGAGGGCTACTACATTATGGGGAAGTGTAACTGGTAGAGGATTTATAGAGGAGGTTGGCCTTGAAGAATAGGGGGAGTATGCATTCTAGGCATGGAGAGCTACATGAGTGAAGACAGAGAAGTGGAATCTTATGGAGGGCAATGAGAAGATTATTTTGACTGGAGCAAAGAATTTGTGTAGGAGACAAGCAGGTGATATGTTTGGAAAGGTAGGTTTGTGTTATGTAATGAATAATTTTTATTTTTATTTTTTATTTATTTATTTAAAAAAAAAATTTTTTTTTTTTAAGATTTTATTTATTTTATTTTTCCCCCCAAAGCCCCAGTGGATAGTTGTGTGTCGTAGCTGCACATCCTTCTAGTTGCTGTATGTGGGACTCGGCCTCAGGATGAATGGAGAAGTGGTGCCTCGATGCGCACCCGGGATCCGAACCCGGGCCACCAGCATCGCAGCGCGCGCACTTAACCACCAAGCCACAGGGCCGGCCCCATGAATAATTTTTAAACCAAAGGCCTACGCCTTTGAAATAAATAATATAATCTAGCAGATTTTGGTCATGGTTTATTTAGAGTGGTTCACTCTTCTCTTTCCATAACTCCTTTACATGGCTCATATTAATTAAATTTTAATCATTTCTTTGTTTAGGAGGATATGTTTTGGGGGTAAGTACTCAGTTGAGTAATAATATCAGCACAGGTTAAGATTTATAAGTGTAATATCAGCTATTTCATGTGTGGGGACAAAGTGAATGTTCATTTACTTGTGCAAGGGTTTATCAGACATTTTTTGAGTGACTTTGTTTACCAGACACGATGCTAGGCCCTGATAATCCATAGAAGACAAATCACTGCTCCCTTGGATCTGTAATTTTAACAGGGAAGTAATGAATGAAATTCTGTACAAAACAGTGGATGAAATGCTATTTTAATAAACATGTATCATAATAAAATGTTCACTAGTAGTCCAAGTAGAGAGCTTTTGGAGGGAACAGGGATATCACAATCAAAGTGGATCTTTTTTTTTGTGAGGAAGACCAGCCCTGAGCTAACATCTGATGCCAATCCTCCTCCTTTTTGCTGAGGAAGACTGGCCCTGGGCCAACATCTGTGCCCATCTTCCTCTACTCTACATGGGACACGGCCACAGCACGGCTTAACAAGCGGTGCATCGGTGCGTGCCCGGGATCCTTGGGTGCGTGCCCGGGATCCTTCGCGGGGCTGCCGCAGTGGAGCTCTTGCGCCGTGGGGCCGGCCCCCAAACTGGATCTTGAAGAAGGATTCACTAAGTAGTTAAAAGGAATGGCAGAAACCACTCCAGGCAGAGAAAAACACGTGAATAAAGACAGTGAGGTATTTAATGACATGGTATGTTCAGGGAAGAAGAAAGTTCTTTGGAATATTTGGAGTACAGGATCTAGGGAGAGTAGAGGATGGAGAAAGAGGCAGGGGCTATATTTTGGAAAGTCTGGATATCATGCAAATAATTTTCGAACTTTCCTGTTTTAATTTGGTAATTAGTCACATAAGTATCACTGAAACTACTTAATAGTTGTCTCTAATGATAAAAAAAAGTAAAATTATGCCAGTGGTAGTATGTTTATAACATAACTATATATTAGGCATGTGTGCACTCAACTCTAGCATTTGTTTATTTATTCAAAAACTACAGAGGATCAATATATTCTTAATAAGTAATTTTCCAGATAGCTAAATCTTTTAAATGCAAGTATTTTATTTGATATATTTTATGCTAGTATTTCTAATATATGTTACTCCTTCCTATTTTTATTTAAATTATAAAATATTTTACATTAAAGAAACTTTTTAAAAAAGGATAATCACCCTGAAATTTCTGACTCTAATGTTGATAATTGTTAATTTTTGCATAGCTCCTTTCAGTATTAAATCATATATGTCTATGACTTTCTACACTTACGTATAATTTCACATGACTTACATAGCTATAGGCATAAATTCAATTTTATATTTTATGTTTTTTATTTCCTTTTAGCATTATAAACATTTTCCTTGCTACATAGTTTGCAATTAGGATATTTATACAGGGTGCCGGTAATATGGAGATAAGTCAGAAACTGGGAAGGAATGAAGCCAGGAAATGTTACAGAAATGTATAAAATTTGGTTTTGCCTGGCAGACACTGTGATAGCAAAGCACAAGTAGCCACTTTGAACTGCTGATTGTTGGTGTAACTGTAGTAATGAATGCCTGTTTTTTTTTTTTTTTTTTTTGTGAGGAAGATCAGCCCTGAGCTAACATCCATGCCAACCCTCTGCTTTTTGCTGAGGGAGACCGGCCCTGAGCTAACATCTATTGCCAATCCTCCTCCTTTTTTTTTCCCTTTTTCTCACCAAGGCCCCAGTAGATAGTTGTATGTCGTAGTTGCACATCCTTCTAGTTGCTGTATGTGGGACGCTGCCTCAGCATGGCCGGACAAGTGGTGTGTCCATGCGCCCGCATGCGAACCCCGGCTGCCAGTAGCGGAGCACGTGCACCCAACCGCTAAGCCACCGGGCCGGCCCCAAAATGCCTGTTTTTTGAATCAGTAATACTTGCTTTACTAAGCAAGATAAATAACTCAGCCAAGTGAGAGAGACTTCTTGCCTCTTAAGGTGGCTTCAATAGTAATAGTATATATGATCTTGGTTTATATGATGAGATGAGACTTGAATTCACTCCTTTAAATTAGTTTTATAGAACAAACATTTTTGTTTTATATTATGAAACTGATTGTCAATATTTAGTAGTTGCCTTTTAGTAAATTTTAATGTTTTGTTCTTCATTCCTTCTCTTGCCTTTGAGTAAATAATATAAAATGTTTTCTTACAGAAAATTTCAAGGGTACCTACAGTTTCCAGAAGTATTTATGTTCCGTCAATTCCTTCTTGTGGATGGTCATATGGTTATCATATTAATGAGGATGGCAGTATTATAAGACATTTTCCACCTGCTAGTGACAACACACTAGGTCCAGCCTACTATAAACCTCAGTTTGTAAGTAAAATGCATTTCATGTTGACAATTGGGAGCTTGCTTATGATTAGGCAGGTTTTAGTTAATGTAACAGTAACTGCAGTAACAAATAGACCCCCAAATCTCAGTGGCCTAATACAGCAGAAATTTTCTCATCATTCATATGTTTATTTCTTGTTGAAAAGAGACTTTCCTCCATGTAGAGATTCAAGGACACAGGCTTATTCTATTCATGTTACTATTATCCCTGAGGGCCCTGGTGTCATTTGTATCGAGCTGGCTGAAGGAGAAAGAGGGTGCAGGATTGCTAGGAGGAGGTTTTTGTAGGCTAGTCCTGGGAGTTAAAGCTCAGTCAGGTAGACACACTTAACTCCCAAGGGGGCTGGGAAATATAGAAATATAGTCTAACTGTATATGGGAGGAAGAGGAGACAGGTTTAACTTACTAGAAGTCTCTGCTACAATGTATAATCATATGCAATACATAGATATTCTTTTCCTGAATTTGAAAGGGAAAAGGAGCATTTTATTTATAAAAGAATTTGAATCTGATAGGGTAAGCATTATTTATTTCACAAATGATTGTAAAAAACGATAAAGAGCTTCTCTTTGATTAAAATATCAAACATAATATAACAGATCTATTTCATCCAGCTTTTAAATTTCAAACCTGGCCAGAGTTGAGTCAAAATTTCATTCAGCCAGTTGAAATGTCTTGAGTTATCCCTGAATATAGATAATATGTCTGATTTAAGTACATAGTGCTTTGAACCTGTTGTATTTTCGTATGTTTATGAGATCTGAAAGAAGTAATCCTGGTCAAGAAACTGGCAAAAATTAAATGTAGACTTAAGGAGCAGCTGAAGAGATACCTTGGGCAAAGAACAGATATTCTCAGGACTTGGTTTGACCTTCACTCCCAGTACTCAATACTTTTTTGTTTGTCGTGTCTCCGTCTTTGCACTTAGGCTCTCAGCACCTTCAGAAACCATTTAGTTTGTGGCAGTAGGAATACTGGGGCATTTTGGGGACTTAGATTCTTTGAATTTTTTTGTTAAGTTTTTTTGTTAAGATATTTTTATTGTAATTTATATAATTACAATTGAATACTATAAATATAATAATAGATACTCATGTACCCACCATCACATATAACATTAAAATTGTCACACTCGAATTAGCTATATTTTAAAATAAATATATTATTGCAATTATTGCCCTACCCAGTTTCCCTCCCTCCATTCTTCTCCCTTTGCCAAAGTAAACACTAAATCTTTATTACATACATGAATAACAATATATATTGTGTGACTTAAAAAATTTAAGTAAATGGTATTATCTGGTATGTAGGTTGCTTGCTATTTCACTTAATGTTATATTTTCTAGATTTAACCATATGGATATATTTGATCTAATTCATTCATTGTTCCAAGTTAGTAAGTTTCTTTTTTAAAAGATAATTTGAAATTTTGAAATAGTTTCAGACTGATAGAAAAGTTACAAGAATAATACAAATAATTCCCATATATTTTTCACTCAGATTCTGCAGTTAACACTTTATCACATTTGCTTTATCATTTTTTCTTTCTCTATATTTATATTATTATTTTATTCAGCAATTTGAGAGTATTTTTCAGACATGATGCTCCTTTACTCCTAAATACTTCAATGTAAATTTCCTAAGAACAAAGCATTCTCTTTTATAACCACAATGCAATTATCAAAATCAGGAAATTTTCATTTTTATAAGACTATTATCTAATTTACGTATCTTTAAAAATATTTCTAATTATCTCAATGATATCCTTTAAAAAAAGAATTTGGTCCACAGTCCAATCTGGTATTACATGTTGCATTTAGTTATCATATCTCCTTAGATTCCTTTAATTTGGAACAGTTCTTCAGTCTTTCTTTGTCTTTTGTAACCTTGACTTTTTGAGGAGTACAGGCTATTTATTTTGTAGAATATATCTCAATTTTGGGTTTGTGTATATTTTCTCATTATTAGAATAAGTTTATATATTTTGGCAGGAATACTACAGAAGCGATGTATCCTCAATGTGTCACATAAAGAGGCACAAGGTGTCTATTTATCCTATAATTGGTGATGTTAACTTGAGGTGGTGTCTTCCAGTTTTATCTACTGTGAAGTTACTATTTTTTAAAATTTATAAATATTTTGGAGAGTTACTTTAAGAAAAAATAGATATCCTATTCCTCATCTAACTCTCACTTACTATTTTAACATTCATTGATGATGCCTGAATCCATTTTACTGTGATGTTTATCAAATGGTGGTTTTCTAACTCCATCTTTTCTTTACAATTTTTTGTTGGCATTTTACTATAAAGAGTTTTATCTTCTTTCCCATTTATGTATTTATATCAGTATGGATTCATGAATTCCTGTTTTACTCAAAGGGTTATTATTTATTACTCTCATTATTTATTTTGAGGTTTAAATTACCTCAGATTTGACCCTTGGGAGCCCTTTCAAGCTGCTTCTTTTGTCTTTCTGACATATCCCAATCATTCTTTGAGCATTTCCTTACCTTCTGGTACAATAAGATGTTCCAAGGTTACCTCATTTTTTTCACTGTCCCAGCCTTAGAATCAGCCATTTTTTCAAGGAGCCCTACTTTCCTTTAGTGGAGAATGGTATTTCAAAACAAGATCAGTACACTAGATACGCACATTGCTACTGGGATTTCATTGCTTCTGGGCCAACTCAGTGGAAGAGTTAGAAATTTATACTTATTTTTTATCTATCTGTCTATTAAAAACTTTGAGTTTATACCAATACCTCCAATTCTGCAGGTTTATTCTAGTCTTTCCTTTACCACATTTGAACTCCTTTCTTTCACGATGAGAAACCTGGCTCCTATCATCCTCAATATATTTACTTATTTGCTTAATCCTATAAAACACTGAAAGTAGTTTCAGAATTGCTAACCCAACACTGCAAAAAACAGACTTGAAATGGTACAAATCTCTCAGCTCTAGGTGGCTTTGAGGCTCTACACAAGCAGAAAGTGAAGGCTAAGGCAGACTTGTAAACTGCCGACTTGAGCATTGAAGGTGTGCCTCAACACATGCACAGAGCACCCTTGCAAAGCTGAGAGACCTACTGGCTCAAGGCGTTTAGGGAAACCTCTGTCTAACCATTACCTGACCACTCGGCTAACCAGGCTGAAACTTCAGTGGACACACATGACAAAGAATGCAGAATTTAGAGAATTAGTCCGGGAAAATCACTAAACAAGCAAACAACTTACAAACCCTTGGGGCAGGAAGACATTCTGATTTTCAGAGTTGCCACATTATATTATCTAAAATTTTTCAGCAAAAAATTATGAGACATGCAAAGAACAAAAAAAAATATGGCTTATGCGTAGGAAAAGAAGCAATCAATAGAAACTATTCTTGGGCTGGCCCTGTGGGTTAGCGGTTAAGTGCGTGTGCTCCGCTGCTGGCGGCCTGGGTTCGGATCCTGGGCGCGCACCGACGCACCGCTTCTCCGGCCATGCCGAGGCCACGTCCCACATACAGCAACTAGAAGGATGTGCAACTATGACATACAACTATCTACTGGGGCTTTGGGGAAAAAAAAAGAGGAGGGTTGGCAATAGATGTTAGCTCACAGCCAGTCTTCCTCAGCAAAAAAAGGAGGATTAGGATGGATGTTAGCTCAGGGCTGATCTTCCTCACAGGAAAAAAAAAAAAAAAGAAACTATTCTGGAGGAAGCCAGGATGTTGGACTTATTAGACAGTCTTTAAATAAGCTATTTTAAATATATTCAAAGAAGTAAAAGAAGCTATGTATAACTGTGTATAACTAGAACTAAAGGAAAGTATAAGAACAGTGTCTCGCCAAATAGAGAATATCAGTAAAGAGATAGAAATTATAGAAAAAAAAAACAAGTAGAAATTCTGAAATTGAAAAGTACAATCATGGAAATGAAAAATTCACTAGAGGGATTCAATAGCAGATTTGAACTGGCAGAAGAAAGAATTAGCAAACTTGAAGACAAGTCAATTGATGTGCAGTCTTATAAACAGAAAGAAAAAAGAATGAAGAAAAATAAACATAGCCTCAGAGAATTGTGAGACACCATCAAGTATACCAACATATGCATAACGGGAATCCCAGAAGGAGAAAAGGAAGAGAAAGGGGCAGAGAGAATACTTGAAGAAATAATGACTGAAAACATCCCAAATTTGGTGAAAAACATTAATCTACACATACAAGAAGCTCAGTGAATTCCGAGTAGTATGAATGCAAAGAGATGCACACCTAGACACATCACAAACTATTGAAAGACAAAGACAGAGAAATCTTGAAAGCAGCAGGAGAAGTAACAAGGAATACCTAATAAGATTAACAACTGACTTACCAGGAACTATGGAGGCTGGAAGTCAATGGGATGATATATTCAAAGTGCTGGAAAAAAAAGACTGCCAATGAAGAATTCCATAATCAGCAAAACTATTCTTTGTAAATGAAGGCAAAATTAAGACATTCCCAGATAAACCGAAACTGATAGAATTTATCTCTAGTACATCCCCTGAAATGAATACTAAAGGGAGTTCTTCAGGCTGAAATGAAAGGTCATTAAGCAATAACTCAAACCCACACAATTTTTTTTTTTTTAAAGATTTTATTTATTTATTTTTCCCCCAACGCCCCAGTAGATAGTTGTCTGTCATAGCTGCACATCCTTCCAGTTGCTGTACGCGGGACGCGGCCTCAGCATGGCCGGAGAAGCGGTGCATTGGTGCGATCCCGGGATCCGAACCCGGGCCGCCAGCAGCAGAGCGCACGCACCCAACCGCCAAGCCACGGGGCCGGCCCTCAAACCCACACAATTAAAGAACAATGGTAAAGATAAATACATAAGCCAGTATTTTTTTTTGGTTTGTAACTCCCCTTTTAGATTCCTATTGATTATGGAACATACTAGAAATGATACATTTTATGTTCAAATACAGATGTTTTAAGACCTGATGGACTGCTCCATGCTAT